CTTGTGAGTGCAAAAAGAAGTAAGGCAAGTAACTTGGGAAGAATATACAAGTAGTACCGGAGTTGAAGTCGCAGGACCAGCCAAACTATGAAAAAAAATAGATTCAGACTTATAATCTGAAAAATACAGTAGTTGGGATCATTTATGCAAGTGTATTCGTCAAATGATATGAAACAGACCCATATAGTCAACTTCTCTATTGCATTTTGGAAATCATCGTGTCCTCTCATGATTTTAGGGACGCTGACAGCAGTGGAGAGCTTCCTAACCATAAGCAGTGGGCCTGAGGTAACCAACATCACATTGTCGCTAGTCGTCAAGGAAAGAGATTGCATTTGCTTCAAGCATTTCTTTTATCATTGTTTTCAGTGCCATATGTGATTACAAAGCCAAGTTTGGTTTACACGCTTGTCTAATAGTACATCCGACCGCACGGCAAGATACAACCATTTTAGGAGATAAGATAAGCGCTGATAGAAATAGATGCAGGACTATGTGCGTTACAGGGGTTTCAACGGTTTCGACAGGCCCAAATAGGTATTTTGCTGTCCGTCCTGGCGGAAGGGGCGCTCCTACGAAGGCTGCGATGTAACGCGCGAAAGCTGAATAGCTCTGCTGAGCATCGTAACCCTTGCAGGGCACATGCGGACACGACGCCACGTGGCGTTCGGCCGTGCACGGCTTCGCCGATAGTGGCGCCCTTCGCCAGCTGAGGAGAAAGTTTGACCACAAGCCGCTACCTGTGGTAGGAACCAAAGTTCGCCCGAGGTAAGGTGATAAAGGACCACTGGATTTAGAGCTTAAGTGCACTCAACCTGTACATGACGTGCTGTATTTTTGAATGCACAGACATGATCACGCCAAATAAATGAGTGGTCTGATTTGGCGCGTACGTGTGTGCGCGTCCAGAGGTTTTGTGTTTTTTAGCAGAGAGATCATGCAGTACGCCATTCCTTTTATGGGTTCGGACCCCTCTGTGGTCAAGAGAACACAGCGTTTCCTTTACCAGGAGAAATCTCGCTCACCCGTAAGTATTGGCGTCAATTTTAATCCACCCATTTGGGGGGCTGTAACTTGATTTTGAATGCTATTTCTGTTTATATGATCTAGTT